CCCTCCCCCGTCCCCACAGACCACCCATCACTCCTTCCACCGGTTCCAGCACAGACCCCCTCCCCCGGTCGCCCACATGACACCGCACTCCCCCGGACAAGGCCTCTCCGTCCCAGTCGGGTGGCGGGCCGGAGCGGCGGCGGCGGGCAGGGAAAGATGCCGTCAGGCCCGCCGCGAGTCCGTCGCCGCGGCGACGAGTGGCTAAGGGTATGCTAATAGCTCTTCCTTACGGTCTTATGGTCGCGTCCGGGGAGACGCTTGCTCCAGCGGCACCACGCGGGCATCTAGCGCTTCTGAGCGACCGCCTCCTGATAACTCTTTACCGAGAGAAGCAAACAAGCCGAAACAGTGTTACACCCGCGGGAGGCGAATAAACCGGGCGCCCGGCCGGATAAAAAAAGCGGCGCGGCTGCTCGCCGCCGTGGCCAACCTGGCGGCGGTCGCGAGCGAGATAAAAAATGCGGGGCTGAAGACGAAGAAGCGGGTGGGCACAAGAGGGCGCTGTTTTGGCGAGGGACAGGCGCGTTCGAGAGGAATCGGGCAACGGGGCCGAGAACCGCGTCGATGACGCGCCATCCTGGCGGAAGGGAGGGCCACCGGACTGAAGTCGCGTCACGATGCAACGACGAAACAATACGGAGAGCGAAAAAATAACTGGCAGTGCAGCGCAAATAACGTACACATCGATTACGACGTCAAACAAGTCACGCAAGCAGCGGGAAGGCGCCACCGTACTGGTGGGCGGCCAGCGCGATTCGGGGGGTGGCAAGAGCTAATGCAGCGCTCCGTGGGGGAAGGAAGACCACACCAACAACAGTGCATCGTGGCGCTAAAATACGAATCAAACAAGTGAAACAGGACCAGTGTGAGATACGGCTAGATCTTAGAATTGCACGCACGTGCTGTTCGCCCCACGCGAAATACAACTCCAATGGGCATGCAGGAGGCGCGCACTGTTAAATCATCCTCAACGGTCCTCCCACTCTTCGCGGCGTAACCCACTGACAACGCCAAACTCGGTGACACGACTAAGCGTTCGAGAGCCCTATTCCACCTGATGAGTTGGTCGCCCAAACCGGGTGTGAGCCAGCCATCGACATACTTGGCGCCCCTTATGTTGCATTAATCTACAAACGCAAAACTAAGTCATCCTTTACTTATCACTGCAGAAAATCAGACGAGATAGGAGAGAGAGAGAGCGACAGAGAAAGAGAGAGAAGAGCATGAAGAGCTAGAGAAGAGAGAGAGAGAAGAAGAGAGAGAGAGCCGAACGCGACCCCGCAAGAGAGAGCGACGAGAGAGAGAGAGAATATGCGAAGAGGATGATAGCGAGAGCGAGAGAGATAGTGAGAGGAGAGGAGAGCGACGCGAGAAAGAGCGAGAAGATGAGGAGAGAGAGCCAATAATACAACTCTCAACTAGGCGCAATTTGGCAAATTACTTCACACCTCTCACAGCACCCTTGCTAACACACACGCCCACGCCCACAGACACACACTCTAGCCAAGCACCGCACTGCATTCGCACGCCACGTCAGACACCCGTGGGATCGCAGTTGAACGTATATAAGTGGCAAGTGCAGTGTGGTCAAGGAAGGAAGGTATGATATGGGTGAAACGCAACCGCGCGAGCGAGTGAGCAAACGCGTACACAAGTCACAAAATATAAACATACATCCGCGCGTATATATACACACACGCGCGCGTATACGAAACGAGATTGACAACTACACGTAAACCAATTAGCATAGTTAAATTAAAGCGACTCATATCCGGCATTAACCGATGCTCTTTTTCTTCCTTAATCGCGTACGATTTAATTCGCGATTTCGCGATTCCACTGCTATAACGCACCCACGAGTTTTAGATTGCAAGTATTATGTAACCAGGGCGCGCCACATCTATCTTGCACAGAGTCGAACTAACGCCCGCGACTATTAATCATAATAGCTACTATCATATCAGGGGTACCGTAAGCAGCGCGGCGCTGCAAGTAACGCTCCGTCGCTGACGACGGTTCTCCCTGAAAAACGAACACACGCGCTAACGCGTCCGACGGGGGCGGCCAAAACGGCGCGCCGCAAAGACCCCGTGCGCCCCCATCGCCAATGAACAGCCGTTCGCCTGTGCTTTGGGCGTGCGGCGCGAGTTTGGCGAGCGGAATCGTTTCCCCCGTACGGGAAGCACTGTTTCTCTCTTTGTTCTACGGACCTACCTTATTAAGCAAGACTGCTCTACTGAGATTAGAAATAGAAATCAAAATCTTCGACAGAAATTCACCTTCCCCCCTCCCCCTCGCGCGTACAAGAGGCGAGAGTGTCCCCCACAAGCGCAATTATATAAGGTAACCAAGCCCGCTCCAATATCGCCCGTCCATGCCGAGTCCCCGCGCAAATATGCAAGAGGTCGGTCACAGTTTCACCAAGTCGGCGACACATCAGGCCACCACCACACGCCCACCCTCACTCTCTCTCTCTCTCTCTCTCTCTCTCTCTCTCTCTCTCTCTCTCTCTCTCTCTCTCTCTCTCTCTCTCTCTCTCTCTCTCTCTCTCTCTCTCTCTCTCTCTCTCTCTCTCTCTCGCTATCTCTCTCTCGCTCTCTCTCGTTCGCTCTCTCTCTCTCTCGTTCGCTCTCTCTCGTTCGCTCTCTCTCGTTCGCTCTCTCTCGTTCGCTCTCTCTCGTTCGCTCTCTCTCTCTTGCTCTCTCTCTCTCTCTCGCTCATTCTCTCTTGCTCTCTCTTTCTCTGTCGCTCTCTCTCTCTCTATCTCTCTGATGTCTGCAGTGATAGAAGGATGCTAGTTTTGCGTAGAATGCAACAAAGCCCGCCATTGTCGAGTGGCTGGCTACACGTGCGCCACCTATAGGGGAATAGGCTCCTCGACGCTTAGTCCGTGTCACCGACGTTGTCATGGTTACGCCGGAAGAGGAGGACCCGAGGAGATTTAACAGTGGCGCCCCCTGCCTGCCATTGGCGTGGCGACACCAGCAGTGCGTGCATTCTAGATCTACCTATCACATGGCTGTTCACTTGTTGATTCGTATTTGCCGCCACGATGCACTGTGTTGTTGTGGTCTTCCTTCCCCCACGGCGTGCATGCTCTTGCCACCCCCGATCGCGCTGCGCCCACCAGTAGGTGGCGCTCCCGCTGACTGCGATGATTGTTTGACGTCGTATCGAGTGTACGTTTTGCGCGCATGCGTTTTTTTCGCTTCCGTTTTTTGTCGTTGATTGACGCGATTCAGTCGTGCGCCCTCCCTCCCGCCAGATGGCGCCGTCATCTACGCCGTCTCGCCCGTGCCGATTCCTCCTCGAACGCGCCTTCCCTCGCCAACAACAGCGCCCTCTTGTGCCCACCCGCTTCTTCGTTTCAGCGCATTTTTTCTCGTCGACCGCCGCCAGGTTGCGCCACCGGCGCGAGCGCCGCCGCCGCTTTTTTTATCCGGCGGGCGCCCGTTTCGCCTCCCCGCGGAGTAACACTGTTCGCTTGTTTCTCTCTCGTAAAGGTGATAGGAGGCGGTCGCTCAGAAAGGCTGATGCCGGTGCCGCTGAGCAAGCGTCCGACGGACCAAGCCGTAAGGAAGAGCTTAGCATCCCTAGCCACTCGTCGCCGCGGCGACGGACTCGCGCGCCTGACGCTCTCCCCTGCCCGCCGCCCCGCCTCCCGCCCGCACGATGGGACGGGAGGCTGTCCGGGGGGAGGGGTGTCTGTGGAGACAATAGGTGCAGCTGGGGTTCGTAACTGCTGTTTAAGGCTGAGCAGGGAGGAGGGAGATGTTAGTGGGGAGATTAGTGGTGCGAGCCCATCATCATGTGACTTTTCAAGTCGCGTCAGTGTTAGAGGGCGGAATTATTTCGGAGTGTTGTGAAATTGCGTGCGTGCGTGCGTGCGTGTGTGTGTGTCAATATATTTGCCTGTGGAGGGTGTGTATGTGTGTGGGATAATAGATGGTAGTTATAACATAGGAGGTTAACCCACCCATACACCTCGCCTCCTTCGTGCAACAGGGTTCCCCTCCCCCATGCGACCCCCCACCCCCCCAGAGACACGGTGTATCCCGGGGAGGGGGAGGTTCCCCTTTCTCGGCAGGTCGTGCCGGGGGAGAGCGGCAGATGCGCGTCGGAGAGGGTCGTTTTTTTCTGTTGCATGTTTTTAATATCGTGGCATTTTCGAACAGCTACCTACTTTTCGATCGGCATGCTGATTTTCTCTCGCCAGGTGGCGCTCCTTCGACCCCCCTCCCCTAGGTGGCGCCGCGGCGTGTTTTTTTCGTTGATCGTCGACGTAAGATTTTTTTTTTTTAAGCGTTTTTTCTCCGCGCGGAACGAACACTCGTTTCTCACGCTGCATTTTTTAGCGTGTACGTGTTTTTTCGTTTTTTCGTTTTTTTTTCCCCTGGGGCGCCGCAGCCGGCAGACGGGTTAGCTTCTGGCTTCTTTTCGCTCTCTAATCGGATGCTGCAGATGTAGATGTGAGCGGGTGAGCGAGCGCGGGATGACAAGAGGCTGCGCAGGGAGGGGGAGAGGGGGAGGGGCTTCTCTTCCTCGTGCTTGCGGCCAAGATTTCTCGTCTTGTCAACCTAGCACCAGGGTTTCAGCAAAAACCTTCGCTCTCCCGCGTTCCCCATAGAAAGATTACCTAAATTACGTCATAAGTTATAGATAATCTATTAATAATAATTTCTATTAGATTATGTAAGTCGAATTACAAACGCTCTTGAATTTTTGAAAAAAAAACGCACCTGCAAAACGATTTTTCGCTTTGCGTATTTAACATTTTTAATCGTTATCGTCTACGTCAACGTGAACTCGCTAATTTCAGCAGTTTATGTAAACGGTAGCAACGCAAAGAATGACGACTTGTTAATGTAAATTCACGATGTACACAGTCGTGTGGTGAGTAAGTGGTAGCAAGCAACCGTCTCTTCGGTGGCTGGGTGGGTGGATGGGGTGGTTGCCTGGGCGACCCGTTGTTGAGCGTTTATTTTCGGTGACGTCTTGCACGCGACACGCATGATTCGTCTTGCCGTTGCCGCGGCGACGCACGCTGCATGCGTTCCCACGACGTCTCCCTCTGCCCTCTCTCACAACCCCGTTCCCAGCTGCATCGACGCGCGGCGTCTCTATCCCCGTTCCCAGCTGATGATCCCCGATGAATTCTTTGACATGAATTCACTGATGACATGACTTCTGTAATGACATGCCTTAATTGATGACATGACTTCATTGATGATGACATGACTTCCTTGATGACATGGCTTCACTGATGACCTGAGATGGCTTCACTGATCAGTGTTTGCGATGTCTTCCTGCAGCATCCTCGTCGCTTGTGCGCACTGTTCATTGCCGAGTGCCTGATGGTTATTTTAACAGTGGGCTAAATATTTTTACGTGTAACCCCCCCCCCTCCCCGCAAAGCAATGAATTTAGGGAGAGAATTCTCGAGGAAAAGGCAACCCCCTTCTCTCTGCTGGGAGGGAAGGAAGTCTTATGGGAGATGTGCCTGATGTAATCATTTCGCGCCACAGATGCTCATTTGTTTGCCGGAAGCATGTGCATGCCAAAACAGCGGCCACTTGTTTTTTAGGTGTTCGTTTGTTCGTTGTAGTAGTAGTAGTAGTAGTCGTAGTGGTAGTACTAAGTAGTAGTAGTAGTAGTAGTAGTGGTAGTAGTAGTTGTAGTAGTAGTGGTAGTAGTAGTAGTGGTAGTTGTAGTTGTAGTTGTAGTTGTAGTTGTAGTTGTAG